CACTGGGGAAAAATATTATATGAATATTTTTTATTATAAACGAATCAAAAAAAGACTTATACAAAATATATAACAAACTTAACAATAATCTTAAAAAGGAAAAGGAAGTAGTGACTAGTGTTCACGTCTTTGGTCGCTGCTAATGAGCACGTGTGTGTCTCGCTCGGTGGTTTGGACGGAAGAGAGCGAATACAGAAGAGAGGAAGAAAAAACGAGACGAATGCCACATCAAACATCTACATTCCATCAGGCATCCAATGAATCAGAACCAGCTAGCCATATTACACCTGCAACCACCGATAATTGTGTGAACGAAGTCACAGTAAGACTCCCAACATTCATGGGCAACATACCGGATATTTGGTTTCAACAGATCGAGTCCATTTTCAAGAACAGACGCATTACCAGGAAGTACGATCTTGTCTTCGAGGCTTTGACTCCAGATACCATGGAAAACATATCCGACTTTCTCCGAAAACCACCGGAAGTATTTTTCATTAATAATGACTCTGCAGCTAATCCACAGATTTTTGTAGAAAAGCATCGTGAATACATGAGAGGATTGAGACCGACATCAACAGCTCACCATATTAAATCAAGAATATTCATTCCAAAAAACCTCCATACTTGCAGTCATGTATTTATTAGATCCGATCACGTTAAAGCACCGTTAGAACAACCTTATCGAGGACCATATAAAATTATAAGAAGAAAATCAAATACAATTTTTGAACTAGACATAAATGGTATGCTTAAGGACATTAACATTGACAGATTGAAACCCGCTTATTTATCAAAAACGGACGCAGAAAACGACGTTCAACCAATACCAATCCAATACCTGAACACCACTGGACAGCAACAACAAATATACCAACCAAAACATACGTCAAGAAGAAAGTCTCTTTCAATCTACCATCTCAAGAGACATGAGGGGGAGTATTGTGGCCGTCACACCAAAGCTTGGCGCCTCCGGCATTCTTACCGTCACGCTTCTGGTGGCGAAACTAAATAACTAAAAAAAACCCCACGTATGTGAACAATCGCTGCTATTCGCTCTCTTCCGTTCAAACCACCGAGCGAGACACACACGTGCTCATTAGCAGCGACCAAAGACGTGAACACTAGTCACTACTTCCTTTTCCTCTTTAAGATTATTGTTAAGTTTGTTATATATTTTGTATAAGTCTTTTTTTGATTCGTTTATAATAAAAAATATTTATATAATATTTTTCTCCAGTGAATTAATTATTTTGAATATTATTGAACACGCTACAAACATTATGACGTCCGATAACACCATAGTGGTGTCACACGCGAAGTGTTGCTCAACGGCCGGTTATACCACAGTGGTGTCACGCACAAAGCGTTGTTCTACGCCTGGCGACATCTCCGAAGATGAAGTAAGAAAACGGTCGGGCGTAAGCAAAGTAATCTGAAGTAGCGCTGCCGGCGCCAAGCGAAGAAATTTTTTCGAAACGCCCGGACGTCATATGTTAAGCTTCTTCCACCGAGTAGTGGGTAGAGCTCTGGGCTCACTTATTCTCCTACTGCCGACGCGGTTGGTACTTCCAAGTCGACAAGGCGGAATTCACCAGCACGTGTGCTAACGGAACTCTTACTAAAATACCGCAGCGAACTCAACCAGCTTGAGTTTTTGAGCGCAATGTTGGGGAAATTTGAGAACTTAAGGGCTCGGTAGTTGGAACACATCAAGGCTTCCCCCGCCCGGCCATCTACGAGAAAGAATCAATTTAACTATCTCACGATCTCAACCAACCAACGGCAGCTTACCAGGCCGCTATTCATCAAGACAGTACTCAATCAGAAACACGAGAGTTTCATTATGATTGTTGTAAGGGCAAGCACTTCATTGTGACTTACTCAAAGTTTCGTTCACTAAACATCGCTACACGGCGTAGCATAGCCACTAACGCCAGGCCATGCTTCGACTTTTTAGGACGTCACAACCCGAACTCATGCCGAACGAGTCTGCGTTATAAACAGTGTGGAGTAATGCATCACATCATGCTCCACGACCCAGGACGGCCTAAGCCAATAACCGCACCAAAAACAAAGCTCTGTCGCCTTCAACCTCATCTTTACTTTAGGAATCAGGAGCAATCGTTTACTAATCATCCACTCAAGGCACTCATTACTTAACGCTGCTGTCACAGCAATTGCCAAGGTTTACACACAAGTACTCACTCGTCATGCTCGTCTACTCATCGATCCTTGTTCAGAGCTCACGTTCATCTCTGAGCAACTCATCAGTCAACAGAACATCAAACGCCAGTACTCATCTATACCAATCATCGGTGTTGGAGGAAAGAGAACAAAACAAACCCTTTGTATGATATATCTAACCTTGGGTTCCATCTACACGAGCCTAGAGGTCACCGTTTAAGCTCACATCCTCAAGACTGTTTCCTCCATACTGCCATCGTTCCAATCTCACAATAATAAGTGGTCTCATCTCTCAAATTTGAATCTGGCCGATCCTCATTTTCTCGAGCCCCGCTCCATTGACATCATTATTGGAGCTGATTCATACGGGCAAATCATCGAGCTCAACATCATCAAAGGTTCCAGGTCAATGCCAATTGCTCAACGCTTCATTTTTGGATGGCTTGTTTTCGGTCTAGTACACTTACTGCACTCAGTATCACATCAAGCACACCATATCACCACTCACGTTGATGAAACAAAGCTGCAAGAACTACTCACTAAATTCTGGATATAAGAGTTATCATCCGACACTGCAAGTGCGCCAACTCCAGAAGAGATGGAGTGCGAAGACCATTTCCGCACCACGCATACGCGAGATATCTCCGGACGATATGTCGTGCGGCTCCCACTCAAATCATCACCCAACTTACTGGGTAACCAGCAGTACTCAGCAGCTCATCATTGTTTACAACGAACACGCAAAAGGCTCCAGCGATATGACTAGTATCATAAACTATACACCTCATTCATGGAGGGATATGAAAAGCTTGGTCATATGATTCCTATTTCAGGCAACTCATCGAGGTCGGCACGAGAAGGTGAGCCTAACACTTGTGAGACTGTTGGTGGGGATGACCGTGGCACCAGATGGTTACGACCATCTGGAGGGTTGAGGCTCTCATCCAACAGCTCACGGGCAAGGACTCAACCTCGACCGACATACTACCTGCCGAATCATGGAGTTCTCAAACCAGACAGCATAACAACCAAGCTGCGAGTGGTGTTTAATGGCTCGAGCAAAACCACGTCAGGCTATTCACTCAACGATCTCATGCACACCGGTGAGAACCTATTACTCGACATCACCGGCACATCTTCGTTACAGACATCACGAAGATGTACCGACAAATCAAAGTGCATGAGGACGATTGGGACTTTGCAGCCAATTCTGTGGGTTGACAAAGAACTCAAAGAGATTCATTACCATCACACATCAAAAATTCATTATCAACAACATCAAAGTGGGCTCATTAGTGCTTCTCACTGATGAAAGGTTCCCTCCGAGCAAGTGGCCATTGGCAAGGGTCACCACTCTTCACCCTGGCAAGGACGGATTCACCAGGGTAGTCACGTTGAATACTGCAAACTCAATACTCACCAGGCCAATTGCAAAGCTCGCACTTTTTCCTACCCAGCCCTAGGGACACTACAGCAATTACATCAGCAACACTGTCGCTGATGGCGGGAGAATGTTTGAGAATCAGCTTTGTTGCTGAGCGGAACTTAACATCGCGATCGGCCCGCATGAGGTCAGCACCTCTCAGCGAATAAATTCCTCGTGACCTCTGACACGCATGCGCGATCTTTTCATTTACTTGTCTCTGGAAGTAACGTCCATTAACGGCCATTGTCAATCCCATCTTGAACTCGTTCGCACGTAATTTGGTTTTGCACTCAAATTGTGCAACTCATCAGTCTGTACTCAAAATAATACATTTTACTCAATAAAACCTATTGCGTAGTAACACGCACCTAATTTGTTTCATTGCTAACACATTTGTAGGGAATCCCATTGTTCCTAGCGCAACATCGGCAAGGTAAATTTTGAACAAATAGGTATATAATATATTACAATTATTTAATAAACCTTCGGCCCGTAAAGGTGAACGCATATTATTATGTATGCACATAATATATAGGTATTATTCAGTGCAATAGTCATTGCTATGCGCGAGACATGTTAGGTGACTTAGCTTAGAATAGTATGATTATTAATGTGCCATTTGTTCTCGTTCAACGCAGAATAGCACCTTGAATAATACCGAATACTACCTCCATTATAATTCATTTTAACGACATAAATGATTCATCTAATTTACAGCAATCTGCATATATCGGCTTATATGTATTTCTTTCTTTCTCTCAACATTCATTTTCATTTAATACATTTCAAAATATCGACTCTTTCCACAAATATTATTTATTAACAGAAGTTTTTAGATTTAACACGAAGTTGTATGATTGCAAGTCTTTTGTTCTTTATCTTTTCCTTGTTTTATCGACATTTTATCGATAAGACGATATATAATAATACCTTTCTTTTTATTTACATATATTTATTTTTATTTTAAATTAATACGAATAAAAAAAAAAAAACATCGGCAGAAGTTCGTCGATACACAAGGGATGCAATTTTCTAGTCTTTTTTTTTCTTCTAACGGTTCGCAGAATAAGCCGCCTAATGCATATGCGATTTTTGCACATTAAAATCTTATACGTAAAACATTGGTAAGTGGAATACGATCACATGCACTTTTTAGTTGTTCATTTGTTGTCTTCTTAGGACAATAATATGTAATTTCTCATTGATACATGATACGGTAACGCGATCGTAACAGGATCGATGAAATAATATTTTTGTATACTTTGATATAGTAAGATTTTGTAAAGACTCAAATTGAGACTAAAGAGAACAATTGATAAGGATCCTACAGATTGTCAAATATTATCATATCCGATCGATTAAGATCAGTCACACTCAACTTATCTGCGGCCAGAAACGTTTGTTCATGAATTTACCTTATTTTTTTTTGTTTTTTTTTTAATAATCAAAATCGCTTTCGGAACCGATCGCTTTTAGAAACACAATACTAAATATCGCATTAATTTTGAAATACACTCTATCGTTTTTCAATCCTATAATTATTTTGTTGTTGTAATTATCGATTTTCAACCGGTGCCTATTTGCGATCGCGTAGGAAAAAGGTTGAGTTATCCCTGACTAGACACATACACTTTTCTACATTTAAAAACATAAGCCTCTTTGTCCTAGATTAAAATTTCATTCTAACAAGAGTGTAGATATGTATATGTATATATAAAATGGATTAAAAAACGCAATAATAGTCCTCTGCCTTTTTAAAAAATGATCGATCACAATTTAAACAACACATTTTCTATCATCAAATTCTATCGTCCGATTAAATCTACATAAATATAATACATACAACGAGAGATCAAATATAGGAGGAGGAGGAGGAGGAGGAGGAGAAGGAAGAGGAGGATTGATTAACTCGAATGACGAGATACAAGGAACGAGTAGACCGTTACGTATAAACTACTTTACGAATAGATCCTTAAGAGAGGAACAAATCGAGGCCTCGCAGGATTCAGTCTGTTCTTGTTGTTCCTTATTACCACCTGATGAAAACCAAGTTGTCATTTTTCCAGGTTTCAATTTGTTAGGTGAAACCGAAGGTTTTACACTTGACGACGAGCCACCTGATTCCGTGTCGTTTCCTCTTTGAGCAGTTAAAATTTTTTCTATTGCGCTGCCAAGGACCTACCAAAATAATATGTAAATAAATAAATAAATAAATAAAAAAGAAATCTTGTTGTATCTTAGTTACTCACTTGTGCGTCGACTTTGGTACCACTGGTATCATCCCAAACGACTTTGTGTCTCGTTTCGTTATCCTTAGATGGTGGTGATTTGTTTAAAGTATCCTTTACCGTGCGAACTACTTTAGATTTATCAAATTTAAAAGGTAAACTTGGAATGGCCGATTCCGCGCTCTTTTGTTTCTTCCACATGGGTTGATGTCGTTTGGTAAACCAATTTGAGGGTGCCATGATTGAGGAAGCTGTTAATTTTGTACCAGGACTCGTTTGTTTGCCGTTCGTACCGTGCAAAATCGAAACGTCGAAACTATTCGAACGCGAACTTTTCAATTTGTTACGTTTCTGTTCGGTAGTTTTGCTCGACCAACTGGACTTGCTGCCCTCTTCTCGAAATGACACGGACGAACTTTCCTCCCCGCATCTGTTTATTTCCGTTGCCGATGATGTCAATGAACTTAAGATCGATATCAAATCGGTATTAGAACAAACTATACCAGCGGCAGACGTGTTGGATATCATTTCAGCGGGTAACCTTGTTACTTCGGAAACTCGTCTTTTTATCGATGAATTTGTGCTAGGCGATACCGTGGGCATTTGAAATTCGGAAAATCGTCGTTTTTGATATTGAGTATAATTCTGGCTCGAACTGTCACCTTCCATAGGCTGAATCTCGTAAACGCATTCTCGTGACGGTGTTTTGAACATTTTCAAACGTACCTGTCCGCACAAAGTTTAATAAATCATTGCCTCTGAGACGAGAATTTTTCGACCAAAAAGCATTTAAATTGATCTCGCGTTAACTCGTTTCTTTTCCTTTCTTTTTTTTTTTTTTAATATAAGAATAATTGAAATTTTTTTGGAACTAACACAAGAATAGATTTACGTGTTACGTATTTAAATTGATACGGATATAGCAAACTGTGCGACATTTATTTCATTTAAAAATGATTGACATTCTAGAAGGAAGGATGAAAATATAATAGTTTTGATTATATAATGTGATTTATATAATCTTCTTCGGGCAATGATATTTTCTTTCTTTTTTTTTTTTTTTTCTTTACAAAGAGATTTGAGAGATAGAAAAAGAAGAAGATAAAAGTTAATTTACATAAGGTAGAACACTTGTCGTTACGAACTAACTTGACTCGCGCGTCATCTCGCTTAAACGTAATCCCTGGTAATTATTCTTCTACTTGTTCGTAAGTATCTTACCCGTGTATCTATTTGGCTAACGTATGCCAGGGGGACACTTTTAAACTCGCATTAAGTGTGCAGCTAGTAGAGAGATAACTGCTTCGAATCACTTCTGCGAGTAATAAAATAAATTATACGTAATGACGACGGTCTTACACGTTACGAACGCGTATATTATTCTCTACGTGTTATTTTATCATTATTCTGTTGCTCTTTTATCTCATTTTGACTATCCGACGTTTTTATAACAATTTTTTTGTCACAATAACGTATTCTCGTATATACATATTTTAAATGTCCAATTAATTTTGTAATGTTTACAAAACCGTCATATTATAATAAAATTATATAAAAGGAGAGATAAAACGTTTGATCGATTTTTCATGGAATGAAAAAAAAAACAAACAATCCAATTGGATTTATATATACCTTTCTTGCTTTGATCTTTGCTATATCGTCCATTATATCCAATTGAAGATTATGAGTACTACCACTGTTGCTCGGTGGACCGGTTGAATCTCGTCGACCTGGTAATATCCTTGAAACTCCTGGTAGAGGAAATGCTGCTATAGATTCTCGACGATTCCGACCAAATACGGTTGGTGGTACCCTGGAGATCGTTACTACGGAATGTCTTCTTCCCGTTTGTTGTTGTGGTGCTTGCGATAAAGTCGCAAGAAAAGCTGCTTCCCTTGGCGATGGACCCGAACCTTCACCTCCTCTTTCGCTCAAACGTCGTACCTTTACCAATCAAATTCATCCTTTTTTAACTTAATTTTAAGAATGGAAAAATGCGATTAGCGATAGTAAGAAATAAAGTACAAGATCTTATCGTAATCGAATTAATAATAATCATAGAAGGATTGTTTTATCCATGTCCCAGTATAAAATTTTATCAGATAAATATTTTTTTTCTTTTCGAAATATTCGTAAAATTCAATTTCCACGTTTAACCTGTACCGAGCAAATGCAGACGATTATCTTGGTATAAATTTGAACGTTATATTCACTTTTGTGATCGTTCATACGAATCGTCCTATTTCAATGAGGAAAGTTCTTTGAAAATGTAATATCGCGATCAGAGGGAAAATAGAAAATATTATATTAGTGAAATTATTCGATGAAAGATATATATAATAATATTACTGTATAATAACATTTTAATATTGATTTCCAATATACGAAGGTTATATTTGTTGTTTAATTAATTATTCTTTTATCATTTTTATGTATAAAAGTCGTAAAAGATTACCTGGGATGCGGTTATCCCGGATGTACATTGTGGTGTCGGTAAAGAATGTTTCCTTGTTTCCCTCCATGGTGATAGGAGATAGGGATTCAAGGATGGGGAATCAGGATCCAGACAACGTGGCGGGGATTCGTTTCTCCGACATTCTGCATCCTCTTCACCGATTGTACTTTCCTCAACGACGATAAGCGGTTCTCCTGTACTTCCGCTACTCAAATTCGAAGCAAATGACTGTCTTCTCATGTCTTTCTCTTTCTCTTTCTCTCTCTCTCTCTCTCTCTCTCTCTCTCTTTCTTTTTCTTTCTCTTCCTTTATCTTTTTTATCTGAGAATTAAAAAAGAAAACAGATAATTAAATTTATTTCTTTAATAAAAATAATCATATTAATTAAACAATTAAATACACATATGATAATTTTTATCCTTAAACAATTAGTATATCTAAATTGTATCGCCAAAATGAAACGAAGATATTAGTCAAATTAAAGAGCGTACGAGTATACGATACGATTCTTTTCGAATTTAATTTTTTATTTTTGGAAACTATAAATATGTTTGTGTAACATTACTTTTTAGTGTTCTATTTTGTTTACACTAATGATAAATTCATTTTTTAATCGATTGTGGGTCAATTACTTACACGTGTGTTAAAAGTAAACTAATATAATCGTATATGTAAAAATTCTTCATATTTTATTGAAATTTTGTTATTTGTTTATTTGCGTAATATAAAAATATTTCCATACACGCGTATGGAAAATTGATTGTTCGCGAAATTCCGTGTAATTAAATTATTTTATTTATCGAAGAAATTATTTTTTTAATTCGTATTAAAGATATCTCCGCAGGTGCAAAAACAAACCCCGTTCACGAATTATAATTGTATTTTTCTTTTTTATTTATCAAAGTAATTTCTCACTTTATACTAAAGGTATTCTAAACGCGTAGAAACCGATTGTGCGCACAAGTTTCGTATAATCGAATTTGTTGTTGCGCGAAATATTCGATAAAAAAATGATTCGAGTTAAAGTTATTTTCTCACTCGTGTAACTTTTTTTTTTTTTTTTTATTTGTTTTAACATTAACATTTCGCGTTGATTCTTGCGTTAATAATTTGTCCAATGTAGAAAAAAGAAAATTTATCAAACAATATTTTTGTCAATTGTTTAATCGCGTTCGTTTCGCTCGATTAAATTTTCGTTATTCTATTTTTTTTTCGAACAGATTGGCTCGTTAAAATATAGATAGCATTAACCACTATCAAATCGTTTTGAAAAACCATGAGGAAATTTCGCGTAAAAATGTTATAAAAAAAAAAAAAAAAAGAAAGGAAACCTTTGTTAGATAGAAAAATTAATAAGGAAAAAGGATAAATAAAAATAGGATGTTCCATGTGGTTTGAGATTACATGAAGAGACCTATAAAAGGAGAATCCTAGAATTGTCTACGATAACACAACAGTTTTTCGACGTACTTGATAGTAAACTATTTCGTATTGCTTTTGTGTAAAATCGAAACATCGAACATCGATAATTCGAAAGACAATCATGAAGACTTTCGTAATCATCTTATCTTTCGTTCTTATTGCTTACGTTTCGGCATCCGCTATACCGGATTACGATGGACCTGTTTACGATTTAAGTAAGTTTTTCTCAATTATTTTTCTTTTTCTTTTTATATTATTTCATTTACCCTAACGTTCATTTTGTTTTCTATTACAATAACCTTTACGCAAAATCCTGATAAAACGTGATCAAATTAATTTTATCAGAGTTATATATCACGCGCATGTTTCTTCTATTGTATTTTAATTAAATTCTATGAAAAAAAAAAAAAAAAACACATATAATAAAATTTTATAGAATTATATTCTAAAAGTATTGAAATCGTAATTGAGGATATATAGCATTTAAAAGAAAATATTAAAAAAAATAAAAACACATAACAACAATATTGCATGTTAAATTATTGTATGCACTCGACAGAATATTTTCAACATTACATGGAATCGTATTGAAATGTTATTATTGATTTAGGTATTTCTTCCCCCTCCCGCGTTTTAAGATCAATGAATTCTTTTTCGTATGCAATATGATAACATTGATTACACGTTAGCACATTTATTCGTGTTTATTTAAGAGCTTTCTTATTTAATTTTTGCTTTGTTTTTTGCTTTTTTAGTTCCAGTAGAAGATGACAAAGTCAACATCAATAACAATGAAGAAGTTCCTATTAGGACTCGTAGGTTTACTTGCGATTTATTCTCGTTTGGTTCTCAATGGGTTACCCCAAATCATGCAGCTTGCGCTGCTAAATGTTTATTCAAAGGCCGCAGAGGTGGTACTTGTAACAATGGATTATGCGTCTGCAGACATTAAATTAAATCTACCTCCATTAATCGTCTTATTTCTATCGATTTTGATTTATTAATTGATACATATGACGGGCTATGTTTAATTTTTTGATGTTAAATATTTTTCAAGCGATCATTGCAATAATGTGATAATACGTAAAATGTATTATTCGTGAACAATGAATTATTATAATTAATAGAAAAATATTTTATAATTATCGTTATTATTAATAAATATCATTGCGCGTGCTTTATATCAAATTCGAGAGATTTTTATTGAAAAAAAAATAATAATCGATCTCGTCTTTTTTACTTTTATGATTAGCGCATAATAATTAATCAAATGTATTAGCGAACTCCGAAATGTATTGATGTAAAAGAAAAAAAAAAAAAGAAAGAAAAAAGGAAAAAGGAAATAAAATATTTCCATTCGTAAAACTCTTTATATATCGAATCATTTATTTATTACTTTCACAACACGATTCACCATAGTTAAGATTACGAATATTTTAACAAAAAGTTTGGGATATTTTTTGTTATGTGAAAACATTTCGTTTTCGTTCCTTCCCGTCGTAATATTGTTTTGCACTGTGCAATATTCTTTTTTGTTTTTTTGTTTTTGAACGTTACGTAAAATACAATGAGTATATTTCACCACACCCGTATATTCAACGAAGCGTTTAATAAACGTCCTTTCAATCGTTTTCCTATGCTCCCAGTATTTTCGTTTTTTTTCATCCCTCCCGTCATCGCTATTACAATTCACCTAGCATTGTCACGATTGATTGCTTATTTTCAATTTTCAATTTTTATTCCATTTTTCCTCTATATCTCTAACCGATGATTTATATAATTCACATAGTAAGAAGTTTCGACGTTTTCATGACTTTATTTATTTAATTATGAAATTAACCCTTTTCACTCGAGAGATTGAAATAATGGTATTTTTTTGTAATTAGGCAAATATTTAAATTAATATTTGGATAATACTGTTTGGTGAATGCTTTTAATAATACATGCGTGCAAAATTTGTAATCTTTAATACGTTATTTACATGCATTGTTATATATGCGTCTTTGACAATACGAAAAAGAAAAGGTTAAATTTTAAATGCTTTTTTTTTTCTAATATTTGATAAAATTATTAAAATGTTCTATATTATACGTCTGATTAAATATAATATATATTAATGATTTCTATACTTTATTTTTTCTCTTATGGTTAGTAAAAATATAAAGACATATGAAAACGTTTCGTTTTATAATAATCGACAGATAGTAGAAACGAAAGTTTTGATTTACCTAAAGTTTATACGAAGAATTCATTGAATATTTATGTGCAGATCAGCTAGTGTTTTCACGTTCAAAAACACTAGACAGGTTTATTGAAAGTGAATACAATTCAATATCGTATTCCGATAAACACAAACTAGACAGTTCTATTTGTTTTAATGTTACGTACATCTTAGAATTATTTTTTTAGAATAAACCAAGTATGTATTTTTTTTTCTATTATTATCTTATTACTTTACTGAAGGAAAAAGGGTATATTAATTCGATAAAAATGAATGCAACCTAGACTGGTAAAGAAAAATCTATTAAAACCAATTACAGAATGATAATTAGATTCTAATGTTATAATTCTATTAATGGAAAAGGATGTAACCCTTGAAAGGAGTGGGAGGAAGGGTGGAAGGGAGGGAAGGTAACGGTCAAACTTCCGTTTAATATTATAAAGTTTGCTAATAAGTCCCTCAAGCTATGAACTAAGTGATAAACCTCTGATACTAATAAAATATAATAATGATAATAATAAACTAATAACAGAAGATAGACATATAGAATATCCATACACGTATAAACCATATGATACTCATATCGTGATATTAACTTGGCCACGGACCGTAAATGTCAAGCAAAAAAGCTAAAAAAGTCCAATAATTATAATAACAATAACAACGATATATATAATAAAAATAATGATAATAATAATAATAATGAAATATAATAATTATTATTAATAATATATTACACGAAATAATTGAATATTTTGTAAGATTGAGAGTGACGTGAAACAAATATCATTTCGTTTAACTGTTCGATAAAACATTTCCTCTGATTGCTGATTAATTGGAAGATAACGTTTCGATATTAGGAACGTTATGGAACATAGTTATCGGAGACAGAAATACATAGCTTAAATCGGATCGTGTTAGATCGAGCAAGCAAATGAACAATGTTCTCTTTTCCTGTCGTATCCGGATATCAATCATTTCAATTTTCTGACCAGACGTTTAAATCAAGGTCGTAATTCTGTACGTTCTTAAGTTGGCTATTTGAAGTTTGGCTATTTTCGGTGGAATCGATTTATTCTTTTTTCGCGATTTTTTTTTTGTTTTTTAATCGAATAATATTGACAATATAATATAATATAATATAATGCGTTCAACAAAATCTTTATAATTAAAGCTATATCATTTTCTTTTTTCTTTTGCTCGCTTTCATTGATATAGTTTGCCGTTTAAATAAAGCCAGCTATTATCATATTCATATCGAGCAGTCATCGATGTATGTATAAGGGCGAGGGTTTTCCCTTTAATCTTAAAATAAAAATGTGAGAAGCAGTAAACCGTCCTCCTTCGATTCTTTGACACTTATTAAACGCATACGTGGATTTTTTTTTTTTTTTATTTTTTATATCATCCATTTATCCTGCGAAGGGGCTGAACTGCGTGAAATATTTCTTCAAACATTGGATCTTTTATCGCGAATCTTTTTTTTTATAACAATAATAATATAATATATGAACATCGTTTCGTAAATGTTTGCGATTTTAAAAACGATTTTTTACGAGAAAAAGAAATAGTTCAAATAATTTTTTCTTTTTTTTTTGCAAAATTCATTTCAATTCATTTTCTTTCGGTTCATTAACTTGCGTAATTAACTTTGACTAGAATTAAAAAAGATAAAAAAATAAAAAGAGAAGAAGAAAGAGTTAAAAAACAGAAAAAAAAGAGAGACGACAGACAGAGCTCTTCTCGTGCAAAGTACGAGAGGTAAAAAAAAAAAAAGAATAAAAAAAAAAAAAAGGAAAGAACGAGACCGAAACGTAATAGAATTTTTAACAAAGGATTTATAAGTGGTACCGTTCAAAGGAAAACTGCACATTTTTCGTATTCTCATTGGCCTTTTTATTTTTTTACGTTTACTACGTTGGGTATCGTAAAAATTCTAAGGCAACAACGAAATGACACGTTGGTTTGGCAATAAATCAACTTTTTTAATTTAGCAGTTCAACATTGTATAGTTGAAACATTTTTCCTAACAAACAAACAAACAAACAAACAACGAACAAAAAATAAGAGGGAGAGAGAGAAACATTCCTAATGCAAAATTGTTAATATTATTTTGTTCGAAAAAGGAATAAAAACAAATATTTGCATAAATGGGTGTTGGAGAGATCATTTATCTTGGAACAAGATATATATATATTCGGAATAGTTAAACGAAACGAATTGACTTTTGTGCAATTCTTCAAGTTGAGATATATCGCCTCGTAAATCCTTCGGATTGAGGTTTAGGATGATAAATACAAGGTCGATATTCATGATCGTTTGTAGCATAAGACTTGAGAAGATAGTCTTCATGGTAGTCTTCTTCATAAATCGTTCTATCTCTCGTTAGGAAATTGAATATACGATAATTTTATTATACAACTCGCATACTCGTGGGGAAACTGACAGACAGACAGACGGAGGGACGGACGGACGGACAGACAGACAGACAGACAGACAGACAGACAGACAGAAGGACAGTAAATTTATTCTAACTTTCCGAGTATATTTTTATTTAGATTAATATCAAGAATTAATTATATCAATTAGTTGTTTCTCTCGTCTCCAAAAATAAAATTATTAATAAATAGGTATCCTAGGGAATTTGGACATTCAAAAGAACTAGAACTTCGTTTTGATTAATTGGACGTTTCGTCCGTTTATTGGAACTTTTTCAGCAACTTAATCTCTAAAGTTCAGCGTCTTTTTTTTATTTAAGCAGACACACATTTTTGTAATATTCAAAACACTATACATCTAAACTTCGTTATCTCTTGATCCGTTATATTTGAACACTCAACAAAACAAGTTTGTTTCGTCGATTAATTGGAAATGATTTATGAATTTCCTCGCAAATGTTGTGAGCTGATTTAAAAACGGTCAATCTCGTATTTGATTATGCGTTTGATTATGCGAGATATGTAACAAACAACTGGATGGGGCAGGGGGAAGGGGGGAGGGCGGGGTGACATTCAAGAAGCTGCTCGAATAAATTTGAAAGTTGAAACGTAAACAAAAATTCTTTTACGAAGAATTATCGCGTTGATCCGTTCGAGTTTAAGAATGGAATATAAAATGTTCGATCGGAATAATGTCCGCTTTTTAATTTCGGTTTAGAGACTTATACTGGCCGAATAATAATGGGTCCCGCTCGATACGTATAATAGCTTCAGGAATTTTAAAGCTGAATCGTTGGAGGAAGAGAAAACCACGAGCTCATCAGTCTTCTCCTATAAATACTTTGTGGTTAAGTTGATGAACCAACTTTTAAACTCGCGTAAGCTCACCCAAGTGAGAAGTTTCGTGAATTGTTTATCTTTTTTTTCTCTCCTTCTCCCCCTCTCTCTCTCTCACTCTTTATCTCGTTCGTTCGTTAATACTTTTTTAATTTAATTGTTATAATATAGTTTTAATTTTTGTTTTTTTCTCCGTGCTTACTTTAATCGTTTATTTTAATAAGAATGTTTTTTCGTGATTGCGTATCAAAGTTTCAAGGATGATAGTAGCAATTCTTGTTGACAAATCGTAATACGGAAATGCATTAATCGAAATTTAACAAGGAAAAAATACATTATTTCTTATGGGAATAGTATGAGAAATGTTATCAGGAGACACTTGTAGTTTAATGGAAAGGACTTATTGGTCAGAATTCTATTTACCTGTGATTTCATCAGAACGCTTCTCCAGGGATGTTATAGTGAATTCTACAGAACATTTTGCGACGTTATAATACCTATATTAATCCCCAGGGTAGAAGAGGAGGAGGGGGGGGGGGCGGGTGGAATCCCATTTTGAACATCTGGTGTAAACGTTTACATCAACGCTTACGTTTTCCCACGTATACAATCTTAAACCCCCTTTTCTATGGTTTTGATCGATAACTTTTAATTCGAGCATTTCCAGATTATGATTTTTTCATCGTGCAGTTAATGTTCGTGTTTTTAT